ACTGAGTTACCCAGGTGCCCCATAAGCATATGTAATTTAAACAACATATTTTTCAAATACTATGTTTGGAGGATAGAATTCTCCTTTTTATTATAAGGCTCATGTAAGAATACCCTTATAATAAGGCAGCTCTTTCCACTGGATTTCAGTTCAGAGACTCTTGTCATCAAAGTGGTGATATTGCTAAAACTTAACATTAAACGTGTCTTTTGATTTAAATAAATAAGTACTGTTAAAATTGTAACTTAAAATCATTAAATAGAAGTTTATGCTGAAAAACAGCAAAGTTTTTAGATAGAAATAACTGCACATGTGTGGGTGGGTGTTATATGCTTTTTTTTTTTTTAATGTTTATTCAGTTTTGAGAGACAAGGAGAGACAAAGCATAAGCGGGACAGGGGAAGAGAGAGAAGACACAGAATCCAAAGCAGGTTCCAGGCTTCCAGCTGTCAGAATAGAGCCTGATGCAGAGCTTGAACTCACAAACTGTGAGATCATGACCTGAGCTGAAGTCAGATGCTTAACTGGTTAGAGTCACACAGGTGCCCCAACTTTGAAAATCATACATATTACATCTAGACAAATTATTTTAAGGAGCCAAATTTGGTACATTTTGGTTTCTTGTTATAAATTGTACTAAATTTTTATGAGATTGACTTCTTAAGGAATGCCTATAGTATTTATATATTATTTAAATACAAAAGAGAATATTAATATAAAACATTACCAATTAAATTTTATTCAACCTGACAATATTTTTACATGGCCATCCTAGGTATATAATTAATTTTGAATGACCATGTATGGATAGAGAGTTGTACTCTTTTAAGTATATACGCAATTAATAGTGGCTATTGTTTCATTAAATCTCTTTGGGGATCCTTTATTTTGGAAGGTGTAAATAATTTTTGATTATAATAATGTATTCACAGCTGTCTTTTTAAATCTCCCTTCTTTATGAAGGTAAAGATGTAGTCATTCTTTAAAAAATGACTAGTTTTGTTTATTTAGAAAGACAGTAAAAAAAAAAAAAAAGCCAGGAATCATTTGTTATTACACTGTTGTTAGGACAGCAGCACTAATCTGGTCCACTAACCTTTAAAAGAAAGTGCAAAGTCAGAGATGTCAGGTTGTAGCAGTAAATATTCACTGGCAAAGTTTTTATATCAAAGATTGGAACTTTAGGAGACACTCTTGGGATTTAGTGTACTCTAACATCTATTAATCCCTGATACCTTGGGTGACTTGTCAGAAAGCGCTGCATTTACAGAGTATGCTGGGAGGCCAAGAGGGCACATTCAGCTAAAGGTCAAGGAAGCAATTAATGTTCTCTGCTTTTCCCTAAAGAACTTCCCCAGCAAATGCTGCCTCCTCCCCTACCCCATTTTAGCAAGGCATGCGAATATAATGAGATGAAAGTTAAAGTTCAAGAAAAGCATATTACCAATATTATTTGGTTCTTAGAGCCCTTCTTGCATGTGAATGCATGCTGTCGTTGAAAAAGTGCAGTGCATTGGATTACAAGAGGTGGCTTTTACTGAAAAGTATTGGTTTTTCATTGCTTAGTTTTTCTAGATCCCTGCCAAAGGTCAATGCTTGTGGTGGTGGTAGACTGGAGTGTAGACTGGGCCCGTTCTATGGTGTGCAGTTAAGTGGGAGTGTTTTGGGGGTAAAACCTGGTTCTGTGTGGATCCTTGGAAGGACTCTCTTGAAGGATCACAGAATTTAGGACAGGAAATCATGTTGACAGGAAGTCCTTCCGGGACTGTGACCTCTGAGGAAAGTTTTCAACAATGTCAAACTTGATCTGCCTCCATCTTGCCATTCTCCTCCCTGAACACTAGGGAATGATGTTATTGGAGCTAAGAGGGCAGAGTTGGCAATAACATCATCTCTTAGGACTTAGAGACTCAAGTCTCTCACTTCTCTTCTTGCCTCAGTGCAGTGGAGAAGTTTGAAAGTCACTTGAGGCTTTTACATTACTGTTGAATCCAGAATTTTAAAGACTGGCTCTGGAGCCATACATGCATGTACATATTTTCCCCTTTCCTACCATTTTGGAACACGTTTTAAAAATAAAAGTTTGCTCACCATGAAGCTTACTTTTAGGAATAATAGAAAAAAAATGGTCAGATTTTGGTTTAGTATTGAGAAGAATTTTGAATAGTCACATTTTCTAAATGCTCCTTATGAAGTAGCACATCTGTCTTCACTGGAAATATTCAAAGAGGTTGAACAAGCCGACTATGTAGTTTCCACCTAACAGGAACATGAGGTTCCCAAATTAGGTGTAAGTTCCAACTAGAAGGTATCTGAGTTGTTTTCCATCTTGACATTCTAGGATTCTATGACATTTTCATTTTGAGTGGTGCATCTGTTTTAAAACTTTGAATAATTGCAATGTTGGAAATTGTGAAAGTTTTAACTTTTTGAGATTTGGGAAATAAATTTTTGATGAGGAGCTTGTTTTCTATGAAGACCAGAATGAGAAATTTTTGTACTGCTCCCTGGTTTTTTGGAAATACCTGTGTTTGTTATTTGTTTTTTTTACTTGCTTATTTTTGGATCTCAGGACTGAGGTGTGAGTTAATCATCCCCATCAGGTCATGATGCACTCCCATCAGGCAAGACTCCACTGTTGTATGTATATCTGTCTGTATGTTCCTCCCTCCCTCCCTCCCTCCCTCCCTCTCTCTCTCTCCTTCCTTCCTTCCTTCCTTCCTTCCTTCCTTCCTTCCTCTCTCTCTCTCTCCCTTTCTTTCTTTTTTCTTTCTTTCTTTCTTTCTTTCTTTCTTTCTTTCTTTCTTTCTTTCTTTTCTTTCTTTTCTTTCTTTTCTTTCTT